TTTTCAGGCCCCAATGTTTTAAAAGGGAAAAGAAAAAAATTGGAAAAGAAAAAAAAAAAACAACTAAAACAACAAAATTTTAAAAAACGCGTATGGGGAAATTTGTCGTTTGCCGCCACAAAATCATTTTCTATAAATTCTTGGGACTGTATTCATAAGTAATGATCAGATTCTATTTTTTTTTGTTTATTCCTTCACAAAAATATGCTCTTTAATTCTGTAAGAAAAAAAAAATTTTTTTTTTTTAAAAAATTTTTGGACACGGTTGGGGACTTCAATTTTGGGCCTTTGGACCCCGAAGGGTTAAGAGTGAGAAGAACAAAATGTGAGTGGGGAAATGATGAGGAGTGGGTAAAATGAAAGAGACAGCAGCGGGATTGATATGATCATGACAGTTGTCAAAAGCAGGTGGGGAAACAGTTTTGGGGGAGATTGGTGCAGTTGTTCAATAAATGTATAAAGGAGGTGGGGCAAGGTACCTAGGGGTTGGGAGAGGCTTTTATAATCCCTTTAAAAAAGCAAAAGGAAGAAAAGAGTTAAGAATTTTGGGAAATAAGCCGTTGATATACCTGTAAGGGGTACTGTAGAGTTAATACTGAAAGAATTAAAGGTAAGATGGAGAGCAGGACTGCAGACAGACAAGGTTTCAGGAAGGGTATGGGATATGCAGACTGTGTTTACACTGAAGCTCAGAAGTGAAATAAATTTTGGTAAGGAAAGGAAGTTTTTTTCTTTATAGATTTAGAAAAAAATATGTCAGGGGGATAGGGAAGCAATGTGGCAGATGTTGCAAGTGTATGGAATAGGTGGTAGGTTACTAAAAGTAGTTAAGAGTTTTTATGAGGATAGTGAGGCTCAGGTCAGGGTATATAGGAGAAAGGGAGATTATTTTCCAATAAAAGTAGGCCTCAGACAAGGATGTACAATGGTACCATTGTTGTTTAACATATTTATAGGTGGGGTTATAAAAGAAATGAATTCTAGGGTGTTGGTGTGGGATTAAAAGATAAAGAATANCTAATATCAAATGCCATTTGTCACAGTTGCTTTTGGCAATGATGCATTACTTTCGGGAGATTCTGAAGAGAAGTTGCAAAGGTTGGTTGACAAATTTAGGAGGGTTTGTAAAAGAAAAATAAACATAGGAAAGAGGAAGATGATGAGGATGACAAAAAAATTAGATAACAAAGGATTGGAATATCAGACTGGAGGGAGGGAGTATGGAGAAAGTGAATGAGTTCAGAAATTTGGAAATAGATTTGTCAGCAGATGGGTCTAGTGAATTCTTTTAAATATTGTACTATACATGGATGGAGAAAGGCTGAAAAAAAAGCTGTTTATAATATACATTAGGGCAAAATTGGAATATGCAGTGGTGTGGTGCTACAACAAGAACAACAAAAAATACACATATGCTAGAAAAGGTCCAAAGAGGTATAAAATAATTTTCACAGTTAAAAAGCATGAGTTATAAAAAAAGATGAAAACACTACAGATGTCTGCACTGGCTGATAGTAAGAGAGGATACATAATAAATACATTTAAAATCATTAAAGGACAAAAAATTAGAGAAACACAATTTTTTCATATCAGCAACAGGAATAACACGGGGCCATAACTGAAAATTGAGAAAAAAGTGAAGTCAAAGAGATATTAAGAATTTTTTTTTCATGAATTAATAGACCAATGGAATGAATTACAAATAAATGTAGCAAGTGTTACAACCAATGGAAATTTATAAATTATGTGGAGTAAAATAAAGATTGGATGTGAAAAGTGGGTTATAGTAAGCGTGTATGCACCTGGAGAAGAGAGAAGTGTAGAGGAGAGAGAGAGATTTTGGGAAATGTTGAGTGAATGCGTGGGAAGTTTTGAATCAAGTGTGAGAGTAATGGTGGTTGGGGATTTCAATGCTCAAGTGGGTAAAAATGTTATGGAGGGAGTAGTAGGTAAATTTGGGGTGCCAGGGGTAAATGTAAATGGGGAGCCTTTAATTGAGCTATGTGTAGAAAGAGATTTGGTAATAAGTAATACATATTTTATGAAAAAGAGGATAAATAAATATACAAGGTATGATGTAGCACGTAATGAAAGTAGTTTTATTAGATTATGTATTGGTGGATAAAAGGTTGATGGGTAGGCTCCAGGATGTACATGTTTATAGAGGGGCAACTGATATATCGGATCATTATTTACTTGTAGCTACAGTTAGAGTAAGAGGTAGATGGGAAAAGAGGAAGGTGGCAACAACAAGTAAGAGGGAGGTGAAAGTGTATAAACTAAGGGAGGAGGAAGTTCGGAGAGATATAAGCGACAATTGGCAGAAAGGTGGTCTAGTGCAAAGATGAGTAGTGGGGGGGTTGAAGAGGGTTGGAATAGTTTTAAAAATGCAGTATTAGAATGTGGGGCAGAAGTTTGTGGTTATAGGAGGGTGGGGCAGGGGGAAAGAGGAGTGATTGGTGGAATGATGAAGTAAAGGGTGTGATAAAAGAGAAAAAGGTAACTTATGAGAGGTTTTTACAAAGCAGAAGTGTTATAAAAAGACCAGAGTATATGGAGAGTAAAAGAAAGGTAGAGAGTGGTGAGAGAGTGCAAAAGGAGAGCAGATGATAGAGTGGGAGAGGCACTGTCAAGAAATTTTAATGAAAATAAGAAAAAATTTTGGAGTGAGTTAAACAAGTTAAGAAAGCCTAGGGAAAGTATGGATTTGTCAGTTAAAAACAGAGTAGGGGAGTTAGTAGATGGGGAGATGGAGGTATTAGGTAGATGGCAAGAATATTTTGAGGAACTTTTAATGTTAAGGAAGAAACAGAGGCAGTAATTTCATGCACTGGTCAGGGAGGTATACCATCTTTTAGGAGTGAAGAAGAGCAGAATGTAAGTGTGGGGGAGGTACGTGAGGCATTACGTAAAATGAAAGGGGGTAAAGCAGCTGGAACTGATGGGATCATGACAGAAATGTTAAAAGCAGGGGGGGATATAGTGTTGGAGTGGTTGGTACTTTTGTTTAATAAATGTATGAAAGAGGGGAAGGTACCTAGGGATTGGCGGAGAGCATGTATAATCCCTTTATATAAAGGGAAAGGGGACAAAAGAGACTGTAAAAATTATAGAGGAATAAGTTTACTGAGTATACCAGGAAAAGTGTACAGTAGGGTTATAATTGAAAGAATTAGAGGTAAGACAGAATGTAGGATTGCGGATGAGCAAGGAGGTTTCAGAGTGGGTAGGGGATGTGTAGATCAAGTGTTTACGTTGAAGCATATATGTGAACAGTATTTAGATAAAGGTAGGGAAGTTTTTATTGCATTTATGGATTTAGAAAAGGCATATGATAGAGTGGATAGAGGAGCAATGTGGCAGATGTTGCAAGTATATGGAATAGGTGGTAAGTTACTAAATGCTGTAAAGAGTTTTTATGAGGATAGTGAGGCTCAGGTTAAGGTGTGTAGAAGAGAGGGAGACTACTTCCCGATAAAAGTAGGTCTTAGACAGGGATGTGTAATGTCACCATGGTTGTTTAATATATTTAAAGATGGGGTTGTAAAGGAAGTAAATGCTAGGGTGTTCGGGAGAGGGGTGGGATTAAATTTTTGGGAATCAAATTCAAAATGGGAATTGACACAGTTACTTTTTGCTGATGATACTGTGCTTATGGGAGATTCTAAAGAAAAATTGCAAAGGTTAGTGGATGAGTTTGGGAATGTGTGTAAAGGTAGAAAGTTGAAAGTGAACATAGAAAAGAGTAAGGTAATGAGGGTATCAAATGATTTAGATAAAGAAAAATTGGATATCAAATTGGGGAGGAGGAGTATGGAAGAAGTGAATGTTTTCAGATACTTGGGAGTTGACGTGTCGGCGGATGGATTTATGAAGGATGAGGTTAATCATAGAATTGATGAGGGAAAAAAGGTGAGTGGTGTGTTGAGGTATATGTGGAGTCAAAAAACGTTATCTATGGAGGCAAAGAAGGGAATGTATGAAAGTATAGTAGTACCAACACTCTTATATGGGTGTGAAGCTTGGGTGGTAAATGCAGCAGCGATGAGACGGTTGGAGGCAGTGGAGATGTCCTGTTTAAGGGCAATGTGTGGTGTAAATATTATGCAGAAAATTCGGAGTGTGGAAATTACCTGCAGTTTACCTGGAGAGAGTTTCGGGGGTCAACGCCCCCGCGGCCCGGTCTGTGACCAGGCCTCCTGGTGGATCAGCGCCTGATCAACCAGGCTGTTGCTGCTGGCTGCACGCAAACCAACGTACGAGCCACAGCCCGGCTGATCAGGAACTGACTTTAGGAAAAGGTTTGGAGTTAATAAAAGTATTAGTCAGAGGGCAGAAGAGGGGTTGTTGAGGTGGTTGGGTCATTTAGAGAGAATGGATCAAAGTAGAATGACATGGAAAGCATATAAATCTATAGGGGAAGGAAGGAGGGGTAGGGGTCGTCCTTGAAAGGGTTGGAGAGAGGGGGTAAAGGAGGTTTTGTGGAAAAGGGGCTTGGACTTCCAGCAAGCGTGCGTGAGCGTGTTAGATATTAGTGAATGGAGATGAATGGTACTTGGGACCTGACGATCTGTTGGAGTGTGAGCAGGGTAATATTTAGTGAAGGGATTCAGGGAAACCGGTTGTATTTTCATATAGTCGGACTTGAGTCCTGGAAATGGGAAGTACAATGCCTGCACTTTAAAGGAGGGGTTTGGGATATTGGCAGTTTGGAGGGATATGTTGTGTATCTTTATATGTATATGCTTCTAAACTGTTGTATTCTGAGCACCTCTGCAAAAACAGTGATAATGTGTGAGTGTGGTGAAAGTGTTGAATGATGATGAAAGTATTTTCTTTTTGGGGATTTTCTTTCTTTTTTGGGTCACCCTGCCTCGGTGGGAGACGGCCGACTTGTTGAAAAAAAAAATAAATAAACAAATTATTGAAGATGGGACACTATGATCATAGCTCTGCTCCTATGGCTACAAATAGGTAATTACAAACAGGTAACAACATACCTCATGACTGTGATTCTCTTGCTTGGCATGCCTGGGTTAGATTTTTTGTAAGGTACAGTGGGGAGATAGACATCATAGTGAACCATCAAATGTGATTCCTGAGGCAGCTTCTTTATGTCTGTGCTTATATCTTGATTTTCATCAATGATGCTGCATGCAGACAACAGTGACTCTGTAAAAATTCTATATAATGTAATAAAATACACAACAGCAAAATTTACAAGTACATTACATATAGTACCACAGTCTGTGCTTGTTGTTTCCTTCCATTTTCATAAAGCATTTTCTTGTTTCTTATTCATACACCACCACTTGTATTTTCACATATATAAGAAAATACAATCAGGGAGAAGTAGATTAAAATATTTAATTAAGAAAGTAATTTAAGACAATAAAATGGTATTAGATTATATATATATGATCAAAACCAGAGATGGGGTACTAAAATATTCCATGCAAAACAAGATAAAGAACAAATACAAAAGGAAAGATGTACTCCATACAGCAGAAGCCATGCACAACAACATGTATCAAGAAGAATGGGTAGAGACGATGCAGACTGGTGGATTATTTGAATTATTTTATCTGTGCAATTCTGGCAAGACATATGGAATGTGTGATAGTCAATGTGATTTCCTTTCGGTCCTTTTGCATTGGTGAAAAATGGCTCATATAGGAGTAGCAAACAATTTAGGAAATGGAAGACTGGATATCAAATTGGAAGGAGGGAGTATGGGGGAAGTTAATGTGTTCAGATATTTGGGAGTGGACTTGTTGGCAGACAGGTCTATGAAAGATTGAAAAATAAGGTGAACCATAAAACTGATGAAAGAAAAAGGTGGATGGCGCACTGAGGAATCTGTGGAGACAAAACAACGTCATTCCTGGAGGCCAAAATGGAAATGTATTAGAGTCTAGTGGTACCAACACACTTAGAGGGATACATTAGCACTAATATGAGTATTAGAATCAGCATGAGCACTAGCATTAGCATGAGCACTAGCATTAGCACCAGCATTAGCATTAGAATGAGTACTAGCATTAGCATGAGCACTAGCATTAGCATGAGCACTAGCATTAGCCTGAACACTAGCATTAGCACCAGCACTAGCATTAGTACAGTAGGAAAAAACAGTGCTATAGTATCTACAATGTGGAATGCAAATTTAACATACAAAGAAAACTAAGTACATATTAAGAGCATAAAATAATTTACAAGGGATAGCAGGAAATGTAAAAAAAAAAAGTTATTACTTGTAGAGGTGGTCTTAGCAGGTTTGATGAGTGGAGTGGTATGACCATTCCAAAGTATGCGGCAAGGCCCATTAGCTAACAGTTTCTCCGCAGACATTTCACTCACAATTTTCTTATATTCTTTCCAGGAGTGCACCTTGGTGTGCAACTGCAAGAGATAATATAGGTATTACAGCTTATAAATTGGTCCAGAGGACAAAGATTCTTTCATCTGTTTACAGTATCTGACCTGGTGACTAATAAATGGACAGACAAGCATAACCTCATATGACCCTGTATATTATGGCAGGAGAATAAACAAAACTACTATATTTTATGGTTTGTGTAATTCTAATCCAAACTGAGGAAGTAATTGGTTTTCTTACACATACTGTACAATTTTTTTTTTTAACATGTCGGCCATTTTCCACTGAGGCAAGGTGACCCAAAAAGAAAAAAAAAAAAAGAAAGAAAAAACTTTTATCATCATTCAACACTTTCACCATCACTCATACATAATCACTGTCTTTGCCAAGGCACTCAGATATGACAGCTTAGACATCCCTCCAAACTGACAATATCCCAAACCCCTCCCTGAATCCCTTCACAAAATATTATCCTGCTCGCACTCCAACAGCCTGTCAGGTCCCAAAAACCATTCATCTCCATTCACTCCTATCCAACACGTTCATGCACGCTTGCTGGAAGTCCAAGCCCCTTGCCTACAAAATCTCCTTTACCCCCTCCACCCAACCTTTTCAGGGATGACCCCTACCCCACCTTCCTTTCCCTACAGATTTATACACTCTCCAAGTCATTCTACTTTGGTCCATTCTCTCTAAATGACCAAACCAATTCAACTTTCCCTCTTCAGCCCTCTGACTAATACTTTTAGTAACTCCACACCTCTTCCTAATTTCCACACTACGAATTCTCTGCATAATATTTACACCACACACATTGCCCTTAGACATGACATCACTGCCTCCAGCCGCCTCCTCACTGCAACATTTACAATCCATGCTTCACACCCATATAAGTGTGTTGGCACCATTATACTCTCGTACATTTCCTTCTTTCCCTTCATGTATAACGTGTTTTGTCTCCACAGATACCTCAACGGACCACTCACCTTTTTTCCTTCATCAATTCTATGGTTACTGGTTAACCTCATCCTTCATAAACCCATCCATGACAAGTCAACTCCCAAATAAGACAGAATGTAGAATTGCGGATGAGCAAGGAGGCTTCAGAGTGGGTAGGGGATGAGTAGATCAAGTGTTTACATTGAAGCATATATTTTTTTTTTTTTTCAACAAGTCGGCCGTCTCCCACCGAGGCAGGGTGACCCAAAAAAGAAAGAAAATCCCCAAAAAGAAAATACTTTCATCATCATTCAACACTTTCACCACACTTGCACATTATCACTGTTTTTGCAGAGGTGCTCAGAATAAAAGCAAAAATTTTATTTTTGCTTACTTCTTACTGGTGTATATTTGTTATGTTTTTGTTTATACTGCCAATATTAATGACAACACATGTACAGTATGTATTTAAGGAATTTCATTTGTACAAACCTTTATGAACAACACAAACTTTATGCATATTAATTTATCAGGTTATATAAAGTACAGTACTATACTTATCTAATTATGTCACCCAACCTATGGTTAAGTATCAAATACAGGAAAAAAATCATAAAAAGGATACTAACTTAATTTTTAATTATATGATTATTGGCCCAGTAACTAAAGGTGGTTGTGATGTCTATAACATTTATCATTATATTCATGGAGATGCAATAAACCTGTAAGGGTCAAACTGCACTTGTTGAAAAAAAAAAAAAAAAAAAAAAAAACCTCTAATTTCTTGACCCAAGAGCCCTTCACCAGCATCAAGGCACCTCCAACATAGAGAAAATAAAATTCATCCAATAGTCAACTTACCCTAACCATGTAGCTTGGATAGAGGGGCACTTCATTTTTCTTCCACCTGCGTCTCCTGGTTTTCCATTCTGGAGTTTTGGTATAATCAATGACACATTCATTGGGACCATTATAGCCTTTTTCATTAGAACCAACATGGTAGAAAGCATCCTGACAACCTGACTGCACATTTCTATGGCATACATTCCCCTGGCAATCATCATAGCAAGATGGACATGCCCTCCAATTATCACTTTGTTGCCACTGTTGTTCTCTTCTTTCATAGTGGCCAAATTTTTGACTTTCCCTTCCATAATCTCTATCATGCCTATTCATTATACCCCTATCTTCACTGTTATCCCACTGCCCCTCTCTTTCATAATTATCATTATTCCTAATCTTTTTATTTTTCCAGCTCTCTCTCTCCCACTGTGATCTGAAATTGTCACAATCTTGTTGCCAATTCCTTGAGTGTGATACATTATCATGGGGTTGCCAGGAATGCATATTAGGTTTTTTCCATCTTTCCTCACCCCAATTTCTTTTTCTTTTCCAATTATTAAATTTTTTTTCAGAGTTGTTTTGCCATCTGTGTGGGGTATCATCATACAAGCTATAATAATTGAGACCTTCTAAATTAATTTCATATAGCTCTTTGTGTGGAATGCTGTTTGCAGGAAGTAATTCTTTTTGCTCAACATGAACAATTTTAACTTTTTCCCTAAACATAGTTGGTAACATATCTAATAATTCCCTGCGTTTCTTCTCATATGGACTGAATTCCTCTTCATGTTTGTGTTTTTCTTTATCCTCAAAACTTCTTTTCTTCCTGCCAGATGTTAGTTTTTCTGTATCAGATAAATTCACAACTTCATTCTTCTCTAACCTGCAAGAATTTTCTGCAGTTTTTCCCAGGGTTGCATAAAATACTTTCATAGCATCATCCAGAAACTCTTCTTTTGTTCCATCTAGCTTTACATTCTTCTGATTATTATTTGAACTCTCTTTAACTTTCAAATTCAATTTTGGTCCCTTTTTACTAAGCTGATGTTTATCTAATCTGATTTGTTTTTCATAGCCTGAAAAGTACAAAAATATATTAACAAAATTTAACTCAAATTAACATTTACTGCACTGAATCAGTAATATCTATCTATCTACATCCAAAACATTATCTTCCACTTCAGTGTAGAATGACTAGTGAAGTCTCACTTATATAATTTACAGTGCAGGAAGGCTCCACTTATACAACAGGTTAGGTTCTGGACTACTGGTCTACAGTGAAAATTAATGTAAAGTAAAACATGGCTTTTTTTTTACTGATAACATGTTTACACTATCATATATTAAGTGAACAATACAGCTAAGGCTATGAAATGCATATACAGTACACACATTATTTACCTTAAAACATTTTCATTCTTAGCTTGTAGCGAGTGGTGAATATATTTACTGAAGAAAGTCTGAATAAAGGAAAAATGGGTATAATTGAAAACTGCTGCATTAGAGAAATGCTGTAAAATGAAGAGCTGCAAAGTGGGGCCCTCCTGTATACAATTTTTCTGGTATTACACTATTAAGGGTGAAATTTCTCCTGGATTTATTTCTATCCTTACACAACACCATACACTCCTTAAGATTGATACCATTTTTTTTGCAATATATTTTCTCACCTATTCTGAAAATTATTTTCTGTATATTCTTCCTATCAACACTACATAAATCACTGTCTTGGCTAGAGGTGTGTCAAAGTATTGATACCAGTGGGTACTGATTCGTTTTGATGGTATCAGCATCAGTCTAAATTTCAGTATCAGGGGGTGTCGGCAAAATTCTGGTATCATCCCATGCCTGCTCTCGACATATTCAAACCATCTATGTGCTATATCTATGACTTTCTTCTGCAAATCTGGTGGATGTGTTTTGTTCATCATAAAACTCTTAACATCCTTATTCCTTAGTTCCCCCTCCCCTGCATCTTTCTTGTTATTCAAAATACTTAAGTCCTAGAAATCATCATTATAGACTGCATTTTTAATCTAGATATTTGTGACACAGCTGGATTTTGGTGTTGAGCCATTGGGGATAATGTTATACAATGGAAACTAGCTTACATGACATGAGTCAAAGTGTTAAATATTGAAAATAAAAAATTGCAAAACTATCATATAATGTAAATAAATGAGAAAACAAAAATACCAATATGCACATTTACACAGATGTTGCCAACATGTGATCATTTTAGCCAGCTTCAATACACTATAAAACTGCAAGTTTTTGTCCTATTAATTTTGTTTTTATAGTTCTACTGCATTTAGAAAAAGTATGCATTTTCAAAATGTAAGAAAAATTAATTAGTTTTCAAAATTTTGCCACACATAAGGAGAAATAAAATGTCACTTGCCACACAAGCAGTTAAACAAGTTATACCCATTATAAGAATACTTACGTGAAAATACAAGATGGGTCTGATGACGAACCACTTTGCAACCACAGCGTGAAAGATGAGCATATACATAGTACTGATCTAAATGGTGAGGATCTTGCAGCATAATCATTTGAGCTTGTTGTACGCTCAATGGAATACCTCCAAATTGCACCTCCAACTCACCCTGGTGATTTTAAATATTGTGTATTCAATCCTTCCTTGCAATACACAGTGAACAATTTAGAAGAAAAACTATTCTGAATTTTAAATGAATGTATATGAGAACAGAAATAAGCGCAAAATGCATCAGACTTCAAACAGTTAATAATTTCAAGGGTCAAAAAACTAATCTGCCTAGAGATTGACAGCATAAACTAAATTCAAGTCAATAATTCTGTAATAAATTTTACTGTAGATCCTGCCATGAGCATTATTTTGAGCTGTCTTGCAACAAATAAAAATGTTAATTTATTTTGTGAGATACTGTTTCTAATCCTCTGACCCGGTTATTCAATTAAAAGTTGAACTATTTTTTTTTATCATTAAGGGGAATATTTGACTTTAATTCACATCCCTCTAAAAATGTTCTTCACTGAAGAATATGAATTTCTGTGCAAAGGTGAAAATATGAATCTTATGATGCAGTCAGTGGGCTAATACAGAATTAACCCACATTTATTTTGTGGACACATATCAGTCCCAGAGTCATTATTTTAAACTAAACATGAGGTAAGAGTTTTCCTTTTCTCATCATGCACCTCATGGAGCAGGATTTTTTTTTTATACTGTGCACACTCACCACAGAGACCCATTTTCTCATATCTAGGCCAAAATTTACCACTCTCAGCTTATGTATCCATGTGACGGACAGTGAAAAGGTTTTACAATAAGTGTAGCAACATACCCTAGTCTTGTTTTAACCTTAATCTAGAAATGATTACTAATTTCAAAGATAATTTTATTTTGCTGTAGCTAAAATTAACTATTTACAAACCATTCACTTTAAATGCAAACATTATTTTGTTTAATGTAAAGCCATTTCTCGAACTGAAAATTACAAAAACTTTTTTGTTTGATATTCTCTTATTCTTGATCTGCAAAGCAATAGAAATTTTCAAACTCATGTTCAATGCAGAGTTATGTTCTCTCTCACCATTCCATCAGAAATCTTACTTTCCACATTTTAGTAGCTAATATGCCTAATATTATTATTTTCACCCCTCACATACCCATCACCTCTCTTCCTGCTACTGCTCACCACAAGAGCGATATCAAGTGATTTACTTCCTGACCTATTCCTAATACAGTATCTTTTATTTCTTCTAGAGTTATATTTTCGCTTTTTGCTTTTATTTAATCTGCTCTGTCATTTCCTATGGTACCTATATTTTGTAAAAAATAAGTTACGAAACTGACAATTACTCTCACAGCTCACTCCTGAAAAGGCGAGCACCGTGCAAAGAAGTGATCAATAAACTTACTGTATCGATGAGATACAATGCTTCCTCAGGATACAGGCACTTGCCTATATCAGTCTCTGCTCCCATGTACTGCCAAAATTTGCCAGTTTCATGAGCAACTCGAACCATTCTTGACTCTGCCAACCATTCCCCAATGGCCAACTGGTCTCTGTCATATAAGAGAGTTTCATTAGTGATTTAAGTGATTTAAAAAAATACATCTTAAACAAGACTTTGAATTATTGTACATTAATATTTTCCTCCTCAAATCCAAACACTCAGGTACAGATTAAAAAACAATATTAATTCTGTATTGTACTTCTAAAAACTTTGAAGACTGACCCCAATGAATATAAGTCAGCGTGCTTGGCTTTGTTAAGTTATCCTATGTTAAATCTGCATTCTGTATTGAAAAGAACAAAAAGGCACAATATTGTGACTGGAACGAAACACAAATAACCTGCACATAGGAGAGAGCAGCTTATCATGATGTAAGCTTTGTAAATGGTCCAAGTTAGACCGAAATGTTGTTGTAAGTCTCTCTCTCCTATGTGCAGGTTATTTGTGTACATTCTGTATTACTGTCCCCTCAAGGGAGGTTCCTCGACACTGGTGAGGGACTCTTGATCTAGGGAATTGGATCCATGCTCCAATTCCCTGCACTGAGCCCGAATACTTTCCATCACCCTGCCTCTCTCACAGCTGCTGTATAATCCCTCTTGGTTTAGAGCTCCCCCATGATAATAATACTAATACTAATAACAATAATCTGTATTAATGTACATACTATGTATACATACAACATCACTGTAACCTCAGATCCATTGTACAGTACAAATTTATACTACAGTTGTCTAAATAAAAACTTACCATAATATTTATGAGGTTTACAGTACAAAACTTTGCCTAAAGTATCTTCATGCTGAATCCTAAACTGATATACTAATGTGCATAGCATCCCCTCCCCCCCAAAAAAGAAAAAGACTAAATTTTCAGAAAATTGGCTAAAGCATAAAACTTCCTAGAGTTTCACTTTCAAAATGAGATCCACCACATAATGTGGTTGGCAGGAAAGTGTGAAGTAAACTTAGTGAAATTCAGCTTATTGGTACTGTATATATTATTTCTCCATCCAGAAGGAAGGCCGAACAGTGTTATACAAATGAGTTTGTAAATGGTCCAAGTTGGACCGAAATGTTGTCATAAGCTCCTCTCTCTTATGTGCGGGTTATTTGTGTATTGTTCCAGTTACGGTATCTTGTCTTTTTTTTTTTTGTTATTTATACAAAATGATTCTCTAAACAGCCACTAAGTTACACAGCACAATTACAATATGTACATTTGTTTTATGAAAGTATGAAGGTGATGCAAACTTTAGTCAATACAGACATTTTCAAGATTTCTTCTGAAAACAAAAGCCAGAAATTAATAGTAATACAATAAGTAAAACTTACAAGTGTTAAAACCATGTTGAGTACTATACTTTGTCCCCAGTGAGGATGCCAATACAGTACTAATTTATTTCCCAGATTTCAGTTAACCCTTTCCTATGTAATTCATCAACATCTCATTAGTTTCAAAAAAAAAAAAAAATCGAGTGTTCAAATAAGCTCTAGCACCACTCATTTTGTAAGGTTTTTCACATCTTCACTTATATTTCCTTAAAAATTTATGCATACTATACTATAGGGTGTGTCATTAAAGCAAACAGCTTATTAAATCTGAATGATAAGAGTTTTATTATCCATGATCCTGACAAAGACAATACTTGATAAACAGTAAACCCTTCATTTAACAGATTTTGGAAATATGGAACAAAATCTGCTGGGTCAACAGATTTGGAAATACATGTAATGGAAAAAGTCCTTTGGTTACAGAATTATTTATTATTGTTACACTCACTGCAAAACAATCTTTCCTTTATCCATCACAAGTGCCATTACTAGCTACCTGATACCCCCAACTAGTCTATTCTGTTAAATTCAAAAAATCCATTAACTCAACAGAATGCAGCAATAATGGCCAATTCTAACTGAACGGACAATGTCCGTTAAATCCAAAATTAATTTACCATGGGCCATAACAATAAAGGACAATTTTGAATTTAACCCTTTCAGTGTCGAGACCCCTGATCCTTAACTCACTGTGTCAAAAAAAAAAAATATGAAATTCAAGATAATCTTTTCCCAATGGTAATGACACCAAAGGTACGAAATTTGATGGAAAACTTACAAAATTACACTCTCACAAAGTTAGCAATCTCGGTGATATTTACGCACTGGTGATTTTGCCCAATTTGAGCCCTATTTTCAGCCAATTCCATTGTTCCAGTCGACTAAAATCATAGCTATTTCGCTAGAACTCCATTTGTTCTATCGATTGAGTACAAGATGCAATTTCAAAATAGTGTCCAGAATAAACAAGGCAGACATTCCTGGCATTAAAATAACATTTTCTCTGTTCATTAGTCATGGCTCCAAGCCCCTCTTATATTACTCTTGCTTTCCATTTTGAATTTTTATTCTCACAAACAACAGAAGATTTACTGTTATGCAGACTACTGCATTATTATAATAATTGTATGTATAAATAATGTCAACCCATTCATGACTGTATTAGACTGACCAGTTAGACATGTATTAGACAGTGACATCACTTATTTACTCTTGAACATCGGCAAAAATAAAAAATTTCCGCTACTTTGAGCTCAGTTTCAAGGTACTTTTCATCATGAAACCAATCAAAATCATCTCCATTTCCATAATATATTTTCCAATCTATCAAATGAGACCAAGAAAGTAAGAATACAACCATAAATACCATACGAAAAACACCACAAAGGCGCTGTTTTAACCCTTTCAGGGTCCAGAGGCCAAATTTCAAAGTGCGCACCAGGGTCCAAGAATTTTCCAAAAAAATTTTTGTTATTTTTTCTTATGAAATGGTAGAGAATCTTATTCTGAAGGTAATAAAACAAAAAGTACGAAATTTGATGGAAAATTGCTGAAATTATCCTCTCGCGAATTTTGATGTGTAAGTGATATTAACGAACCGGCGATTTTGCCGACTTTGACTCCCATTTTAGGCCAATTACATTATTCCAGTCGACCAAATTCTTAGCTATTTCACTAGTATTACTTCTATTCTATCGATTGAGCACAAGAAATTGCCAAGTCAACTGTTTCAACTACAAAATAAAGTGATCAGAAGTTGGTAATTTGGCCAATTTAACACAAAGTTCAAAATATTCCAATTTCAAAATAGGGTACAGAATAAACAATGTAGGTATTCCTGGCACTAAACTAACATTTCCTCTGTTCATTAGTTACGTTTTGAGGCTTTACAAATGAATTCCATTTTTATTTTTTATTAACATAATGAATTTTTATTCAAACCAAAAAACAGAAGATTTACTGTTATGCAATATTGTAATAATTGCATAAATATCATCACCACATTTGTGAATGTATATTAGACCCAAGTGTGAGGTCGTTTGTTTACTCTTGAACATTGGCAAAAAATTTTAACATTTCCGCTACTTTGAGCTCAGTTTCAAGCCATTTCCAATGCTAAAACCAATAAAAATCATCTCTATTTCTGTAATATGTCTTCCATTCTATCAAATGAGACCAAGAAATCGCAAATACAACTATAAAAAACATACGAAAAAACACAGTCTTAGTTTTTTTCTCATTATGTGAGAGTAGTAGTGACTATACTTTATATGACCAAAATACTCTAGCTATATACTTATCCAAGCTTCCCACCACTACAGATATCAGTACTAGAACTCAACACATAACTCAGGATATAAATAACCATAATTTAAACCTAGAAGATGATTGATCACGTTGACCCTGATCTAAACCTCCATAATCTGACACCCAATCAAAACCTATTGGAAAGTAACTGCCTTTATTACACAGCATCACAAGCCAGCACTATCCTAAACAATGCTAAAAGCCTATCAGTACTTAACTACAACATCAGGTCCTTAAGCAAACACTATGATGACCTCCTGGCACTCCTTGAATCACTAAAGACACCCTTCTCCTGCATTATTCTTACTGAGACCTGGCTTAAGCAGGACACAATAGATATCTACCCTCTACCAGGATACACAGCAATTCACAACTGCAGACCAAACCAAGTTGGGGGTGGTATTGCAATCTATTACTCTAACCAATTATCTTGTATTAGCACCACTTGCTTTAGTGATGAATATGGGGAATACATTTTTGCTAATTTTACTGTAAAAAACCTTAAGACACCTATAACAATCGGTGCCATTTACCGGATACCTCACACAAACATCCCAAATTTCAGTGAGAAATTAAAGTCACTAATAACAAACAGACAAATGAATAAGCACAACCTTCTCTTAGCTGGAGACTTCAACATCAACCTTGGCTTACTAGATGATCAGCCTGTAACTGATTTCATCAACAATATGAACAACACACTTCTCATACCAACAATAACTAAACCAACCAGGCTCACTGAGACAAGTGCAACCCAAAACACATATGGACCAATATACTAGCCCCCCTTAAATCAGGGATAATCACAGATAGCACTACAGACCACTACCCTACCTTCCTCCTGACAAACATTAATAAACCACCACTTGAATACAACAAAGTCTCATTTAGACTCCATGACGAGGCCTCAATAAGGAAGTTCACAACTGACCTAGAGATTGTTGACTGGCCTACAGAATTCTCCAAGGCCAATGGTATTGATGACTGGACAGACATTTTTCTTAACAAATTACTTAGACTATACAACAAACATTGTCCTATAAAAACGAAACAGATTACAAACAAACGGCTTGGTTGCCCATGGCTAACCAGCACCATTCTGAAATCCATTGACAAGAAACACCAATATGAAAAGCAATATAGACAGGGCTTAATACACAAAGATATTCTTAAACACTATTCATCAGTTCTCACCAAAGTAATAAAGAAAGCCAAACAACTATACTACTCCAGTAGATTCACAGACACTAGAGGAGATATAAAAAAGACCTGGAAAACACTCTCTCAGAGTCTAGGGACCCACAAACTGAAAAAAAACAAGAATATTGTCCTAACTAAACCTAATGAAACACCACTACATCCCACTGACACAGCTAACAAGATAAACGACTTCTTCTCAACCATAGGATCTAATCTCGCCAATAAAATCCCACATACTAATGCCCATGCCGGGGACTACCTAGATGGGAATTTCCCAAATTCCTTCTATCTTGCACCAACTGAGCCCTCGGAAGTCACCGAGATTATAAAGTCACTTAAAAACAACTCAGGAATCTGTCTAATGTCCCACCATTACTGTACAAGCGAGCGGCCCATATCCTTTCGCATGCTATTTCATTACTTTTTAACAAGTCACTAGAAACTAGCACCTTCCCAAAACTACTCAAGATGGCAAGGGTTACACCAATACATAAAGGTGGTGACCCTACAGACTTAAGCAACTATAGGCCAATATCAAACTTACCATTGCTATCCAAAATCTTTGAGAAACTCGTGCACAGGAGACTATATTCATTTATAACAGCACAAAGCATACTCAACCCCTGCCAATTTGGATTTAGGAAAAATAAAAGCACTAATGATGCAATCATAAAAATGCTAGATCGCTTTACACAGCATTGGAAAATAAGGAATATCCACTAGGAATTTTTATTGACCTAAGAAAAGCTTTTGACACAGTAGACCACGACATCCTACTCCACAAACTTGACCATTACGGTATAAGAGGCCATGCGCTTGCTTATTTCAAATCTTACCTTACTAATAGGTATCAGTATGTTACCATTAAAGACACAGCATCAACAACACAGCCACTTGATACTGGAGTTCCGCAGGGAAGTGTCCTTGGTCCCCTGCTCTTTCTCATATACATCAATGATCTTCCAAACGTATCCCAACACCTGAAACCCATTCTCTTTGCTGACGACACGACTTATGTCATCTCTCACCCTAATCTTGCCACCCTCAACACCATTGTTAACGAGGAGCTGATCAAAATATCGACTTGGATGACAGCCAATAAACTTACACTTAACACTGACAAAACCTACTATATTATGTTTGGTAGCAGAGCAGGAGATGCACAAATTAACATTAAGATCGACAACACTCTAATTACCAGACATAATGAGGGCAAATTCCTAGGCCTATACCTTGACAACAACCTGAATTTCAGCACTCATATCCAACACATAACCAAAAAAGTATCCAAAACAGTTGGGATCCTCTCCAAGATACGATACTACGTGCCGCAAAATGCCCTTCTCACACTATACCACTCACTTATTTATCCATACCTCACCTATGCTATTTGTGCTTGGGGATCAACTGCAGCAACACACCTAAAGCCAATAATAACCCAACAAAAAGCTGCAGTAAGAATAATCACTAAATCCCATCCCTGGCAACACCCCCCCCCCCCACTCTTCATAGATCTAAACTTACTCCCTGTTCAGTACATCCACACTTACTACTGTGCAATCTACATCTACAGGTCCTTAAACTCCAATATCAACCTTGACCTAAAACGCTTTCTTGATAGTTGTGACAGAACCCACAGGCATAACACCAGACACAAACATCTCTACGACATTCCCCATGTCCGACTAAACCTTTACAAAAATTCAATGTATGTCAAAGGCCCTAAAATCTGGAACACTCTACCTGAGAACTCTAGAACTGCAGACACATTCATCACCTTCAAAACTACCATTAGAAAACATCTTATCTCCCTGATAAACCCCATCAACTAACTACACGAATACCACCTGGTGGTTCACACTTACACTCACTACTCACCCATTTGACCATAAACAGAAATATTAATCTCAATCTTAAAATAATGAATCCTATGATACTCCAATACTGAAACTATGTACTGTGCCAAAACAAAAGCATTCACATTGCTAAACTCACAAACTAATATTTAGTCACTTAGCCATAATACCAACTTACCTCATAATTTGTAATATTTTAAAATAATGAATTAAATTAAGTCTGCCCGAAATGCCTAGCCATGCTAGGCGTTCTAGTGGTACACTCTGTAATCATTATTTAATTACATGTAAACCACACAACAACCAAATTCTGTAAATTCAACATTGTAATCTTTATAGAGAATTGAATTGAGTGCTGCAGGATTTGTTTTATGTGCTGCACACATACCACATAGATGTATTCCCTCATATCTAGGCCCAAATTTACCACTCACAGCTTATCAGAGTGAGCTGAGCTCATGGTGTATTATTATTATTATAATCAAAGGGGAAGCGCTAAACCCGGAGGATTATACAGCGCCTGGGGGGGGGGATGTGGAAGGCATTCAGGCTTAATTTGGGGAACTGGAGCACAGATCCAATTCCCTAAATCAAGAGCCCCTCACCAACTTCAAGGAACCTTCTTTGAGGGGAGCTCATGGTGTAGATCTACGGTTTGGACCCTGAACGAAAAGCCGTAGATCTACGGCACGGACCCTGAAAGGGTTAAACCAAAAACATTATCGGAGTTTTTTTTCTCATTATGCACTGTGTGCTGCAGGATTTTTTTTTATACTGCGCACACTGACCATGTAGACCCATTCTTTCATATGTAGGCCTAACAGCTTTCTTCCACCTGGAATTTTGGTGTAGTATTATGGGACCAACACTGAAAGGGTTAACCCTTTCACTGTCCAGACCCATGAAATTAATATTGCTCTCAGTGTCCACTTTAAAAAAAATCTTCTGAAATAGTAGAGAATATTTTTCTGATGTAAAACTTATGGAATTATGAAGACAAAGCTAGCAGTCCGGATGCAATTTACACATTGGCAATTTCACCTACTTTGAGTCCTATTTTAAGGCAATTCCTTACTCCATTCAACCAAATTCTTAGCAATTTCATTTGCATACCTTCTGTTCTATCAACTGAGCTCCTCTACACAGTACATTTTTCATAAATGCAACTGAAAATGCAAATCCAATACTGAATAGTGTCTAGAAAAGTCTTCATAGTATATATGCTATTCAACTGTCAATGAGCAAGCATATGAACAACATAAAAATAAAAGTTTATTCAGTAATAAATCATTATTTTTCTCCGCTAAGGTAAATAAATTAGCATTTCGCTTTAGTATTATAAATACTGTACATTGTGCAGCACTGTATATATTTAACTCTTTCAGAGTTTCTGATGTACTAGTACGGCTTACACACCAGGGTTATTGACGTACTAGTACGCCTAAATTCTAGTGCCTTCAAATCTAGCGAGAGAAAGTTGGTAGGCTTACATATGAAAGAATGAGTCTATGTGGTAAGTGTGCACAGTATAAAAAAAAATCCTGCAGCACACAGTGCATAATGAGAAAAAAAAAAACTCTGACCATGTTTTTGGTTTAAAACAGCGACTTTGCACTGTATTTTCGTATGGTATTTGTGGTTGTATTCTAGTTTTTCTGGTCTCATTTTATAGAATGGAAGACATATTACAGAAACTGAGATGATTTGATTGGTTTCACAATGAAAAGTACCTTGAAACTGAGCTCAAAGTAGCAAAAATGTTTGATTTTTGCCAAGTTCAAAAGTAAACAAATCATGCCACGCGTCCAATACACATCAACTGGTGAGTCTAATATTCTTTCACAAGTGCACTGATACTATTTAAACCATTTCTACACTAATGCATAACAGTAAATCTTCTATTTTTTGTGAGAATAAATATTCAAAGTAGAAAGCAAAAGAAATGTAAGAGGGGCCTGGGGACGTGACTAATGAACAGAGGAAATGTTATTTTAGTGCCAGGAATGTCTGTCCTGTTTATTGTGGACCCTATTTGGAAATTGGCATCTTTTGAAATTTGTGTGAAATTAGCAAAATTGCTAATTTCTGACCACTTTATTGGATTGTTGAAATCAATAAATGGGTGGTTTCTTGTACTCATTTGATAGAAAAAATGGAGTTCTAGCGAAATAAATATGATTTTTGTCGACTAGTACACAGGAATTGGCCAAAAATAGGACTCAAAGTGGGCAGAATCGCCGATGCGTAAACATCGGTGAGACTGCTAACTTCGCGAGAGCATAATTCTGTAAGTGTTCCATCAAATTTCATACTTTTGGTGTCATTATGACCGGGAAACGATTCTCTATCTCCTCATGAGAAAAAATATTTTATTTTTTCTGAAAAATTTTCGACCCTGAGAACAAGTTTAGGAGAGGGCCTCTCGACCCTGAAAGGGTTAATATGCAACAGATATTATATCACCTGTCTATACATTATAGTATTCATTTCTTACATTATTTATAGTAAAATGTATGATAACATAAAAAAAAAAATGCAGGGTCTTGGTGATGTGATACATTTCACACTGGGTGCCAGGTGGCAGCAGCTCAAGTGCAACATACAATGTACAGACATTTTGCAGTAAACTGCTGATTTGCAACTTATGTCATTAAAGTCAAAAAAGTTTCTAAATACATGTACTGTACCTAAGATAATGAAGCATTTTTCCACAAGTAAACTAAGGCTAAATCAACTCAGTAAAATAGAATATCATACAGTCTTTACCTTCTGGTAAACTTTGGTTCTGCCAGTAACTTGTGATGTTCAGAAAGTCGAGATCAGCCTGATTATTTTCAAACTCTGAACCACTGGCTTCTGTCAGCTTCTCTCCCATCACAGGCAAGGTCTGATCACGACTCCGTGCACTGAGTAATTCCTTACCACTGAAAGATATACAGTACAGTGTACATGCACTTGAAAAAATAATAAATTAATGAGTGTTGTATATTGTATATAATTTTTATTTTTAAAACATCGGCTGCTTCCCACCAAGGCAAGGTGACCCGGAAAAGAAGAAACACCTTCATCATTATTTGCTCCATCACTGTCTTGCTAGAGCCGTGCTTATACTAGTTATAAAACTGCAACTTATCAACACCCCTCCTTCAGAGTGCAGGCACTGTACTTCCCACCTCCAGGATTCATGTCTAGCCTGCCGGGTTCCCTGAATCCTTTCATAAGTGTTACCTTGCTCACACTCCAACAGCATGTCAAGTCCTAAAAACTACTTGTCTCAACTCGCTCCTATCTAACACGTTCACACATGCTTGCTGGAAGTCCAAGCACACAAAACCTCCTTCACCCCTTCCCTCCAACATATCCTAGGCCAACCCCCTACCCTATCTTCCTTCCACTACAGATTTATATGCTCTCCAGGTCATTCTATTTCGTTCCATCCTCTCTAAATGTCCGAACCATCTCAACAACCCCTCTCAACCTTCTGGATGATACTGTTAGTAAACCCACACCTTTTAATTTCTAAACTGCAGATTCTCTGCATTATATTCACACCACAAATTGCCCTCAGACATGACATCTCCATTGCCTCCAGCCTTCTCCTTGATGTAACATTCACCACCCATGCTTCACACCCGTACAAGAGCATTGGTATAACTATACTCTCATACATTCCCCTCTTTGCTTCCATGGACAAAGTTCCTGTCTCCACAGACTTCTAAGTGCACAACTCGCCTTTTTTACCTCATTAATTCTCTGATTCACCACATCTTTCAAAGACCCATCTGCTGACACATCCACTCCTAAATATCTGAATACATTCACCTTCTCCATACTCTCTCCCTCCAATCTTATATCCAATCTTTTGTCACCTGAGGAGTGAGGACTTACTGTACGTACTTATATCTAGTATTGTCTCCATCTGTTCTGTTGCAGCCCTTCAGAAGTGCTAGAGTGCTGGGTTGAAGTTGGTTCTAAAAGTCCTGTGTATATAAAATGACAGTAAACCATGGAACGAGTGGGATTTGAACCCATGGTGAGTGAGTCGTGTTATAACGATTTCACTAGTTAAAATGACAGTAGAAGTGTGGATGTGTTGTATGTTGAGTAAACTGATTTTTTGAACTTGACTGGATGATTATCAAAACAGATGATTTATGTTGAGTGACAACAGGTTTTAGGTAATCTGGGCAGCTTTCAAAATAAGCTAGACAAATACATGTAAGAAGGGTTACATTTGAGAAGGATCTGCCAAGCAAGGGCCAGCAAGCCTACAGCAGTGCTTGTCTACTCTAATGTTTTTATATTAGTTACTTATGTGTACATTAACCTAGGATAACCCAAGTCAAAAATTGTGACTTATTTCTGCCATGACAAGTATGCAAGTTTAGGTGCTTACAATTATCACAATTAACATGTGTAAATTACCTAGCAGGATAACCCAAAAAAAAGTCAGAGAAAGTGACTTATTTCCACTGGGGTCCTTATATCTTATTATTTCAAGCTTAGCTATAAGATACAGAAGAAAACAATCATAATTATAACCTTAAAAATTAAAACACCTAAGTAATAAAAGTACATGGAAATCAGTTACAGTAAAAAGAGGTACAATAGGAATAAGGCAAACTGAGTTATTTATGTGGATATTAAATAGAGAAAATCAGCTTACAATATCAAGTACATGAATGTTACCTATACAAGAAATCACTCCTTTTCTGTAGCTTCATTTATTAGGAACCTTTTAGCTCTCTTAATGAACTGGCTCATTATATGACAGGCTTTGACATGTGAAGGCAATCTATTTCACTCCTTTAGTGCTGTATAATAAACACGGTGAGGCCTGACTGCCGACTGTAGGCGTTTACTTCCTATAAGGTTCTAAGAAGCAGGATCGCCAACCACCTAGATACCCATCAATTACACAACCCAGGGAAGCATGGGTTTAGAGCAGGTCGCTCCTGCCTGTCCCAGCTACCGGACCACTGGGTGCTATAAAGGATAAACAAAATGCAGATGTAATATACACAAACATTGCAAAAGCCTTTGACAAGTGCGACCACGATGTAATAGCGCACAAAATGTCTGATGAAATAATAACAGGAAAAGTTGGTAGATGGATCTATAACATCCTGACAAACAGAACACAAAGAGTAATGTAAACAGAGTAAAGTCCGAGGCAGCTACAGTGAAAAGCTCTGTTCCACAAAGCACAGTACTCGCTCCCATCCTATTTCTCATCCTTATATCTGGCATAGACAGAGATGTAAGACATAGCTCCATGTCTTCCTTTGCAGATGACACCCGAATTGTCATGATGGTGTCCTCCATCAAAGACACCGCAAGACTCCAAGCGGACATCAACCAAATCTTCAAATGGGCCACTCAAAACATTATGAAGTTCAATAAAGAGAAATTTCAACTACAGCCTCTCCTCACTTAATGATGGAGTTCCATTCCAGTTCAGTAAATGAATTCGTCGCTAAGTGAGGAGCATACTATAATGGTAGTGGGTATGTGTCAACCATCTCTGATACTGCTTTAATGTCACTTACCTGAGTTTACCTGGAGAGAGTTCCGGGGGTCAACGCCCCCGTGGCCCGGTCTGTGACCAGGCCTCCTGGTGGATCAGAGCCTGATCAACCAGGCTGTTGCTGCTGGCTGCACGCAGACCAACGTACGAGCCACAGCCCGGCTGATCCGGAACTGACTTTAGGTGCTTGTCCAGTGCCAGCTTGAAGACTGCCAGGGGTCTGTTGGTAATCCCCCTTATGTGTGCTGGGAGGCAGTTGAACAGTCTTGGGCCCCTGACACTTATTGTATGGTCTCTTAACGTGCTAGTGACAACCCTGCTTTTCATTGGGGGGATGGTACATCGTCTGCCAAGTCTTTTGCTTTCGTAGTGAGTGATTTTCATGTGCAAGTTCGGTACTAGTCCCTCTAGGATTTTCCAGGTGTATATAATCATGTATCTCTCCCTCCTGCGTTCCAGGGAATACAGGTTTAGGAACCTCAAGCGCTCCCAATAATTGAGGTGTTTTATCTCCGTTATGCGCGCCGTGAAAGTTCTCTGTACATTTTCTAGGTCGGCAATTTCACCTGCCTTGAAAGGTGCTGTTAGTGTGCAGCAATATTCCAGCCTAGATAGAACAAGTGACCTGAAGAGTGTCATTATGGGCTTGGCCTCCCTAGTTTTGAAGGTTCTCATTATCCATCCTGTCATTTTTCTAGCAGATGCGATTGATACAATGTTATGGTCCTTGAAGGTGAGATCCTCCGACATGATCACTCCCAGGTCTTTGACGTTGGTGTTTTGCTCTATTTTGTGGCCAGAATTTGTTTTGTACTCTGATGAAGATTTAATTTCCTCATGTTTACCATATCTGAGTAATTGAAATTTCTCATCGTTGAACTTCATATTGTTTTCTGCAGCCCACTGAAAGATTTGGTTGATGTCCGCCTGGAGCTTTGCAGTGTCACAAATGGAAGACACTGTCATGCAGATTCGGGTGTCATCTGCAAAGGAAGACACGGTACTGTGGCTGACATCCTTGTCTATGTCGGATATGAGGATGAGGAACAAGATGGGAGCGAGTACTGTGCCTTGTGGAACAGAGCTTTTCACCGTAGCTGCCTCGGACTTTACTCTGTTGACGACTACTCTCTGTGTTCTGTTAGTGAGGAAATTATAGATCCATCGACCGACTTTTCCTGTTATTCCTTTAGCACGCATTTTATGCGCTATTACGCCATGGTCACACTTGTCGAAGGCTTTTGCAAAGTCTGTATATATTACATCTGCATTCTTTTTGTCTTCTAGTGCATTTAGGACCTTGTCGTAGTGATCCAATAGTTGAGACAGACTATTTCTAACATTTCTGGTATAATTTTATGTTTATAAAGTAGTGTAATGTATATTGTAATAAACAGACTACGTAGAGGAAATCAGCTCTAATATACATTATTTAGGTATGCATACTGGTCAGAGAGCCTGTCGTAAGTCCAAGTTGTTGGTAAACAAGTACGTCACTAAGTGAGGAGAGGCTGTACTCAGATATAGAAAACTTGAGGAAATTAAAACTGTATCAGGGTATACAACAAATTCTAACCATACAAGAGAGCAAAAACAAAATGTGAAGGACCTGGGAGTGATAATGTCAGGATCTCACCTTCAAAGACCACAACAATGTATCTACCGCATCTGCTAGGAAAATGACAGGATAGATAATGAGAACCTTCAAAACTAAAGATGCCAAGCCCATAATGATTCTCTTCAAACTGCTTGTTCTCTCTAGGCTGGAATACTGCTGTACACTAATCGCCCCCTTCAAGGCAGGTGAAATTGCTGACCTGGAGAGTGCACAAAGAATTTTCACGACACACACAAGTACGATAAAGCACCTAAATTACTGAGAATGGCTGAAATCCCTTGATTTGTATTCCCTGGAATGCAGGTAAGAGAGGTACATGATAATATACACTTGGAAAATCCTAGAGGGATTAATATCAAACTTGCACATGAAAATCACTCCCTATGAAACCAAATGACTTGGCAGGAGATGCAACATTCCCCCAATGAAAAGCAGGGGTGCCACGAGTACACTGAGAGGCAACACCACGAGTACACTGAGAGGCAACACAATAAGCGTCGGGGGCCCAACACTGTTTAACTGTCTCCCAGCATACATAAGGGGGATTACAAATTGACTCCTGGCTGTCTTCAAGAAGGCACTGGACAGGCACCTAGTCAGTACCTGACCAGCTGGGCTGTGGTTCATACATCAGTTTGTGTGCGGGCCAGCAGTAACAGCCTGGTTGATCAGACCCTGATCCACCATGAGGCCTGGTCTCAGACTGGGCTGTTGACCCCTGAAACTGTCTCCAGGTATACTCCAGTGCAATACTGGTTTTGGTTCATAGGCTTGACAAACTTGGCAGCAAAATATTTTGGACATCGTTTGTAAGCAATTTTATAAACATGATTTAACTTCAGCTGCTTTACTCTGCCTTCAACATTCAGCAAATCCAGTTGTTGTAAATCATCTTGACCTACATGCTCTCTTGGATCCAGGTCCAGGATGAATCTCTCCATTTTGTTCTGGGTGATTTATAATCTGTCTTTAATTTTTTTTTGTTAAAGCTAAATACCATGACGAACAAAAATAATCTACATTACATTGTATATGATATAGACTCAGGGATCTACAAGCCTCAATAGGTAAACACTATGGCTGTCTATAGAGGAAGTTTAGCCTGGCATTCCCTTTTTTTTTTTACTGCATTGTCCACTATCAGTTCTCCTGATATAATTGGGTCAGCTTATTTTTCATGCCAAAGAGTATGGCTTTTGTTTTCCTAAGGTGTAGAGATAAAATATTGTCTAAAGATTAAATATTCTTTATTGCAGCATGATACAATGTTTGTACAGAGGTGAGGGACATTTAGGTGTGCATGCTGAAAGCCCCTTTGTATACAGAGCATTTCGGGCAAACTTAAGCCTATCTTAAGACTAATCAGGCAATAATTAATTGATTGCTCGTATGTACAGTCTCTGTGGTCGCTGTCTCTTATGTCTATTAGCCATTTGCTGTAGGACTCTAGTCCCTGGTTACCATTTGCTGCCTGATCATAACGCAGTACATTCTCTATTGGCACTTTAGCCATTAACTTACCTCGTAAACTGTGAGGACGTCATTGTGAATATCTATCTCGCCATAACAATCACTCAACACAATAACTTCTGAGAGAGGACGTGATAAACCTCACCTCTCTTGTTGTTGAGGTTGTTAAGGACCACCAAAGTTTTCGTATTATTTAGCCGTTCCCGGAGTCTGGGAAAAATGTGTTGTCCAAATCTTGGCAGGAATTACAAATAAAACGTTTCCTCTGGAAAGAGAAATGGGACCAATAAGTTCCTAATTAACTAGGGAAGAATTCCTTGCCTAAACCTTTCCTAAATCATAAATTGTACTACCTCATATTAACAATAAAGTAAATATTGACTGTTTGTATTCTACCGCTCTTCACCTGTCTAGACTTAAGTAGTCTAAAAGTATTAGGGTTAAGTCTGCCCGAAATGCTTCGGTATGATATTGACTTTCTTAAATAATAAAAAAGGCACAATACCGTGACTGAAGCAATATACAAATAACCCGAACATAGAAAAGAGGAGCTTACGACGACGTTTCGGTCCGACTTGGACCATTTACAAAGTCACAGTAACAGAAAGGAGAGTATGGAGTATATATAGGCCAGCAAACATTGACGGGAGCAAGAGAGGTAGTGGTAGAGGTAATAGCAGTAGTGGAGTCAGTCAAATACAAAGAAAGAGGAGCACTGCCAGGGATCTAGGGGCCCACAGAGGGTAGAAGCCAGAACACAGAAGGGAAGGAGAATAATAAAAGAACATATGCTCAAGGCAGAAGATAGAAAACCCAAAGGAAAAGAGAAAAGGGGAAAAAAGAATCAGGTTAAGTCACGGGTGTTCTGAAGTTTGGAGCACTTTACAATGTAATGGGAAAGGAAGGCATCAACAGAGACAAAGCCAGGATCAAGATTCATACAAGGAAAGTTGTGTATAAGGGAAGATTCAACCAGACGGCGACTGTAACAGTTAGATGTAGGGAAGACAGTTTTAGCAGAAGACCAGTCAATAAGATGACTGTGATCTCTGACATAACAGAAAAGAACATTGCTGGTGTTGGCAAGCCTATCACAACTTTTGTGCTCCCTAAATCTGTCAGAAAGAGATCGGCCAGTTTCTCTAAAGTACTGAAGAGAACAAGAGGAACAAGAAATAGAGTAGATACCAGGAGCATTTACAGAGGAAGGAGAGGTACGAACTAGATTAGTGCGAAGAGTGCTAATAAGTCTGGCGAAAAGTAAGTTTGATATCTAAGGAACGGAGAGAGTTGTTGAGATCAGAAAGACCGGAAATGTAGGGAAGGGAGAGGACAGGAGAGTTCACAGGAGTAAGTAAGTTTATTCAGGTATACACAAATACAGTTACATAGAATTATCATACATAGCAGCATATGTGTAGAGAACCTAGGATAACCCAAAAAAGTCAGACAGTGACTTATTTCCATTGGGGTCCTTTTACCTTATTATTATAATATTATTATAATATAAAGGTAGAGAGTTTGGGAGAGAAGAAAGTCCGTTTAGCACGTGAGAAGGCAGAGTCTATGAAATGAGAAGGGTAGCCAAGACGGGAAAATGAATTATGAAGAGTGGAAATTTCTGATTCAAGGAACTGAGAATCACAAATGCGGAGAGCACGGAGAAAGAGGGAGATAAGAACACTTTTCTTGACAGAGGAAGCATAATAAGAAAAGTAGTGCATGTACATGCCAGTGTGCTTAGGCTTGAGGTAAACGGAAAAGGCGAAACCTATATCTGAGCGGTGGACATGAACATCAAGGAAAGGGAGAAAGGAATTAGATTCCCATTCAGCTTTAAACTTAATGGAAGGAGCAAGATTATTAAGAGCATCAAGAAATGGTTGGAAGAAACTGGAGTCATAAGGCCAAAGAGCAAAGATGTTATCTACGTAGCGGAGCCAGAATGAAAGGCGCACATCAGTTGTAGGAAGAACAGTCTCGAAGTATTCCATGTAAAGATTAGCAAGAACAGGAGACAGAGGAGAGCTCATAGCGACACCGAAGGTTTGAGAATAATATTTACCTCGGAAGGAAAATGAATTTGAGTCCACACAAAGGCAGATAAGATCAAGAAAGATATCAGTAGGTATAGCGAGATGAAGTAATCCTTCACTGGCCTTCTCTCTGAGAAAATTAAGGGCATAATCAAAAGGGACGGGACTCAACGATAGGGCTAAGCGTCTTACAGGTCGGGAGAGAGTGAACATGTTCGATGAAGTCTTGAGAGTGACGAAGGTGAGCAGGAAAAAAAGTACAAAGAAAGGGAGCGAGGGTTTTGGCCAGCCAAGAAGCAAGAGAATAAGAAACAGAACCTCTAGAGGATATGATGGGACGAAGAGGAATATCAGGTTTATGAGTTTTGGGAAGGCCAGAGAAACAGGGCAGAGAGAGACAGATGATACGAAAACGTTGAACAAAGTCAAAGTCAAGAGGACAGAGGTCGGAGAGAGTTGAAAGTTCTCATGATGCAATCAAGAGAGTTGGAAACGAGAGGAGTGTAGGTACGTGAGTCAGAGAGCTCTACGGAGGTAATTCTCGCGATCAAGGATAACTACCGAATTGCCTTTGTTAGAAATGAGTATGCCAATGTTAGCGTTAGATTTAAGGGAAGAAAGGGCAAGTTGATAGCGGCGCGGAAGGTGGTGGTTCTTAGAAAACAGGCTATCAAGAGCAGGAAGGAGAGCGCCACGAAAATTGGACAAGTCAGGAAGATAAAGAGAGCGAGACTGACGAAAAGAATCAAAAGAGCTAATCAGATCAATACCAGCGCGAGGGGCAGGTGAAGTGGCTCCAGTCATACAATGATATGTAAACACACATTGTAACCTTAGCAGAGAAATAAATATTTTATTTATTTATAAATCCCTTACTATGAGTCAATAACAACAGGATATTTTTTCCATAGAACTGATGTATGGTCCACCGACCATTTGCCTGATGATGACAAACGTTCCAGGGAAAGAAAACATGGGAAATTTTTCACTGATGCTCGAGACAGGGGTAGGGCCAGACGCAAGGTTGATGGACTGATTACATCATCTTTACCACGCCACTACTCCAGTTGACCATTGTAACTTGTTGAGCCATTAAAATTTTGCGATCCAACCGTTCCTCCAGGAACATGTGCCTCCGTAATCTTTTGACTACCCGCCATAGGATGGGTATGAGGTACATAATAAGGATAACTAACTGTATTTGACTTAAAAGTTTCAATCATCAATAAAGATACTCAACTGTTGCACATGTGTCTTACCTTTCACCCTGACAGTTTTATATATCACTTTTCATCAAATCAGTTAATCACTTTAAACTTATCGTCACTCAGCAAAAAAATAGTTATCATTAGTCATTCAGGCACCAGATAACACACACCCTTTAATCAAAAGTTTAAATTTACTTTATCCACACATTATTCTACTGTGCTGGTTGTGTCTACAGGACACTCAGTCCAGTGTTGACGTAGAGCTTATACCTGGAGTTTACCTGGAGAGAGTTCCGGGGGTCAACGCCCCCGCGGCCCGGTCTGTGACCAGGCCTCCTGGTGGACCAGAGCCTGATCAACCAGGCTGTTACTGCTGGCTGCACGCAAACCAACGTACGAGCCACAGCCCGGCTGGTCAGGAACCGACTTTAGGTGCTTGTCCAGTGCCAGCTTGAAGACTGCCAGGGGTCTGTTGGTAATCTCCCTTATGTATGCTGGGAGGCAGTTGAACAGTCTCGGGCCCCTGACACTTATTGTTTTGGTCTCTTTTAACGTGCTATGACACCCTGTTTTTATTGGGGGGATGTTGCATCGTCTGCCAAGTCTTTTGCTTTCGTAGTCAGTGATTTTCGTGTGCAAGTTCGGTACTAGTCCCTCTAGAATTTTCCAGGTGTATATAATCATGTATCTCTCCCCCCTGCGTTCCAGGGAATTTCAGGTTTAGGAACCTCAAGCGCTCCCAGTAATTGAGGTGTTTTATCTCCGTTATGCGCGCCGTGAAGGTTCTCTGTACATTTTCTAGGTCAGCAATTTCACCTGCCTTGAAAGGTGTTGTTAGTGTGCAGCAATATTCCAGCCTAGATAGAACAAGTGACCTGAAGAGTGTCATCATGGGCTTGGCCTCCCTAGTTTTGAAGGTTCTCATTATCCATCCTGTCATTTTTCTAGCAGATGCAATTGATACGATGTTATGGTCCTTGAAGGTGAAATCCTCCGACATGATCACTCCCAGGTCTTTGACGTTGGTGTTTCGCTCTATTTTGTGGCCAGAATTTGTTTTGTACTCTGATGAAGATTTAATTTCCTCGTGTTTACCATATCTGAGTAATTGAAATTTCTCATCATTGAACTTCATATTGTTTTCTGCAGCCCACTGAAAGATTTGGTTGATGTCCGCCTGGAGCCTTGCAGTGTCTGCAGTGGAAGACACTGTCATGCAGATTCGGGTGTCATCTGCAAAGGAAGACACGGAACTCTCTCCAGGTAAACTCCAGGTAATAACACCAGACACAAACATCTCTATGACATTCCCGTGTTCGACTAAACCTTTTCAAAAAATCAATGTATTTCAAAGGACCTAAAATCTGGAACACCCTACCTGAAAACTCTAGAACTGCAGACACATTCATCACTTTCAAAACTACAGTTAGAAAACATCTTATCTCCCTGATACACCCTGACAACTAACTACATGATAACCACCTGGTGGTTCACAATTACACTCACCCACTGACTATAAACCCAGAAATACTAATCTTAATCTTAAAATAAAAAACCCTAACTAGTCATAAGTTTGCCTATGATACTCCAATATAGACACTTTGTATTGTGCCATAACAAAAGCATTCACATTGCTAAACTCTCAAATTATGATGTAGTCACTTAGCCTTAATACCATAATCTGTAAGGATTTAATGTTAAGAATTAATCAAGTCTGCCCGAAATGCCTAGCCATGCTAGGTGTCCTAGTGGCTCCCTCTGTAATTAGTATTTTATAACATGTAAACCACACAATACCCAAAACCTGTAAACCCCACGTTGTAACCCTTATAGAGAATAAACTTGAATTGAATTGAATTGAATCGAATTGAATCGGGCTCGATACGGCGTACACTGTCAGTGGCCCTGAAACCCAACAGAAGAAGTATCACAGGTAATATACACTGATGGATCTAAGCAGAAGTCTTCTGGCAGGGCTGCATCTGCTCTTGTTGCCACCTCTCCCTAGTTAAGAG